TTTTTTTTTTTTTGGGTAAAACACTGAAGTTTTATGATACATTCATTTTACCAATTATTTATATCTCAGTACTGAAGAAAATTATTTAATAAGGACATAGTAAAATGTATAGAAAAGTCACAGTCTTTACTTAGAAGGGCTCAGGCCCACTCATTTGGACGAGTCCCTCTTGGATGTTTGCTCAGACATAATATGACAATGAAAGGAGTTATCTTTCAGGATTGCTGGATTAAATGTGAGTCAAAGTGTTTAACAATGTGACATAGATTGAATAATAGTTATTTTTATAAAAGAGCCTTCTTTTCTGATCCAGAAATTCAAAATCAAAAACAGATTTTAACACTTCATTATGTATTTTTCCACACGTCATATGCTTTACTCTGGTTCTAGGGCACCCAAATATAATCAGCATTTTTCTGTAAGTATTTTCTTATACTGCCAGACTAAGGTACTCACTGAATGAAATTTTTAGTTAAATATGAAGTTGTGCAATACAATTTATAAAAGTTATCTTCAAAATAATTACACTCCCATCAAAATTTACTCTTCCTACGGTCACAGATCTAAATGTCATGGGCCCCCATTAATTACCTTGTGAGAAAAAGGAACAGAAGTCGCTCACGTGATGCTGGCTGATCTCGAGTACTAAAATAGGAGTAAATCTGAAGAGCAAATAAGACGAGCCAGAAAACCATGAACAGAACGGGTACTACCAGCTGATTCCACAGGGACATCCCCAAGGCTAGAAGGCCATACACCTCCACCACCTGGAGAAAAAAACAAGACAGGGAGACATCTTGTATCATCTTCAATGGGCACTTTTAAACACTCTAAGTGTTTAAACTCCTTATGTTTTAAAAACAAGAACTGGCTTTTCCTTTATTTGCAAGATCCTTTCAGCAAATTTCTTTTAAAGTTAGTTCTACACACAGTAATCTGCTTTTAAAAATTAGTGACCTTTACATTATTATTAACATTCAATAGGGGCACATCTATAGTGATAGCTAACTGCCCTAAGAGCTCAGGGATAAGGTCAAAATAAGATCATTTTCACAACAAAATTATCTCAAGGACAGTTTGAAGCAGCGAGGTAAACACTCATGTCTAATCCAAATAATCAAGATTAGCATGAATCGGGGCTGGAGAGATGGCTCAGTGGTCTAAAGCACCTACTTGGAACAAGCTTGGCAAAGCACAGGGACCACGGTTCGATCCCCCAGCACCACATGCCAGCCAGCTGCGCCCCCTGGTGGGCTGAGCTGGCTACCCCCCCCACACACACACAATAAATAAATAAATGTTAAAAAAAATTTTTTTAAAAAGATTAGCATGAATCATACAATATTGATTAAGAGATTGGGAAGAGAGAAATGTAAAAGTAAGAATTTTTCAGGGTTTCTTCAGGAGCAATCCTAAGTAAGAGGTGGTTCAATAAAAGACACAGTTCCGGCTGTGCAGGGGAGACATTTACTGTAAAGACAATTCTTCTCCCTCTAGACAAATCAATTCTTTATGCTCCTACTGGACATTTATCAAGCAAGAGTTTTCAATTTATTTGGCTCGCTAAGCATAGTAATACTTAAGAAAAAGGTACATATTCAAAAATATCTATTATAACTCAATAACTCAACTGGTTTTCCAGTTTATAAGATAATCTCTTATAAAACAGTAGCAAGAGTTCATTCCCAGAATCTCATTCAATCTAAGATCATAACTCCAATTAAGTTTTTAGAGTCACTAAGCCAGGAGCCAGATCTTGGGCACCCAGTAGGACTCTGTCAGGCAGTCTAAAAATCCTAAAAGCAGCTGTCTGGTCTTGCTTGAATTTCTCAATGTGATACCGGGATGTTTTGATTAACTATAAAAAGATTTATAAGTATTAAGTTCAAATATGTTGATTTACAGATTAGTCTAAGTTTAAATTTTTTTCCTCAATAAAATAAATGCTTTTTCTCAGGCCTGCTTTTTCATTTTCCCAACTAGAAAATGTGTTTTTTAGCCACAGATGGTGGTACATGCCTACAATCCCAACACTGAAAAAGCTGAAGCAGAAGAATGAGAGAATCTGAGAGCAGCCTGGACGACATAGTGAGTTCAAAGTCAGGCTGGTCTACACAGTGAGACTCTGTCTCAAAAAAACAAAACAGAAAAATTTAAAATAACTTGCTAACTAGCTATAGTATATTATTACTACTAAAGGCAAACTGATTGCTGAGAGGTAAACAGTAGGTTTCCTATTTCCCATTCAAGGCATAAACCAGTAGAAAGCCTGCAAGTTTACAATTCTTGCTTATCTAATTCTTCCCAAGGAACAAATCTTACATCCTATAATTTATTTCCCACAACTATGCCTCGTGATACATGAATCATATGGCAACCAAAGGAATAAACACAACATTAAAAATGAAGACTTTGCCTTACGGTAATTAAATATTTAATATTCAAGATTCATTAAATATTATAAACAAAGCTAGATCCACAAAATAAAGTTCAACAAGGAACTTAAAGTTGTTATTCTTGCTCTGAAAATAATTATGAACAGCACTTCTGTCATGAAATATTTCTGCACTAAGGGCATGGAATGATCTCTTCTTTGAAAGATCTTCTACTGGGTGAAACTGCCTGTGATAATTAAGATGAAGAAAGAAGGTAGAATCTGGCTAAGGCCCAGAGCTTAATTATGGAATTTCTTCTGGATGATCTGTCCCTGGGCCACAGAGAACACTTCTCAGTAGTACCGGTTTGGTCAGTCAGAGAGATTCCTACGCCATAAGGTCAAATACACGGCATGAAAAGGCAGAAGAGAATAACCATGCTAACATGCTCTTTTTACACTCATGTCAGGCTCAAAGACCTAGTTTACACACTGAAGTTTAACAAACCAAATCCAAACATTTATCTCCCAAACATCTGTTGCTCATATTTGGAAGGAATCTGTCTTGGAACAAATGCTAAAAATGGGAGTAAAGGGGCTGGGGAGATGGCTCAGTGGAATAAGCGCTTCCCTGGCAAGTGAAAGGGCCTGAGTTCAATCCCCGGTTCCGGGGGAAAAAAAAAAAAAAAAAAGGGAGTAAAAAAAAAAGGGAGTAAAACTGCTGCAAGAAGCACGTCATGCTGTCAGTTCAGGCTCTTCGGTAAAATCCCTAATAATGTAACCTGCAGCTACTTTTTCAGTTTAAATAAATTTAACAACAGGAAGAAACTGTAGTCACAGGAAGACTATCAACAGAACAATCAGGATTTGACCCATAGGTATTCCATACTTCCTTCTTTTTGTCTTCATTTCAACAGCTAACACATATAGAACATCAACCACCTGGCCCTGAACTCATTTAAATCTCCCAGCAACCCAACGAAGAAAAGTACTACGTCATTATTAGCTTCACTTCACTCACGGCGGGAGAAGTGAGCATCGCGAGGTTACAAAGCTGGTGAACAGCAGCCTGCTCTCAGAGACTCGGTTCACTGTACTGCAGTGTTCTCAGCAGAACTTTGTAAGAATGAATCGTGGGTGTTCCTAATTGGGCTAAAAATACCTGCTGTTCTTAAAGTATAAAAAAGAATGTTGCCATAACGAAGACTGTGAAATTAAAAAAAAATAATAATATTTATGTGGAATGTTGAACACCTGGCTTACCTGAACCAACTCTCTATATGCAGACTTAGCCAGGTTGTAAGGTACTAAAAGATTAGACCCAAGAAAATAGAGAACTTCCAATCCAGTAAAAATCATAGCAAATTTGTTGATGATAACAATAGTTTCCAGAGGAACAAGGCAGAGTCGTGCTAGCAGAGGAAGCATGTGAGCTGAGAAGAGCCAAATCTGCTTCGTTTTCATGACACATGAGCATAAAGTACACACCACCAACTGACCTAAAAGGAGGACAGGAATGAATTAATTTTGAACACCGAGTAACCACAAAAATAAAACAAAAGTACTGTTTAGAAGGATGAACAAACAGCTACTAAAGAAGTCTAAGATTTCTTAGGTGTTTTAAATCAAATTTAAATTTCACCTGACCATAGTTTCACACATTTACTGTGAATTTCAAGTAACTAATTCTTTAGGGCTGATTTGAAAAGCAGCCCAAATCTCCACTGGTCTTCACCATCTTTCTGATGGCATGTATAAAATGAAGAAACATTTTTTTTAAATGCCTAAATGAATTTTAGAGTTATTCAGTTAAGAGTAAACACTTCAAATATAGCTCATTTTCCTAAGGTACTCAACAGTTACCTGCTCTAGACAGGGAAGGCAGAAGCAGCAGTTCTAAGAGATCCAGGTACTTGTCCAAGATCACAGTGCAACAAGATTACTTTTCTTGTGGTTTTCTATCTTTCTTCTATAAGACCATGTAAAATGCTAACTTATTCATCAAAGTTAAAATGGTTAAGTTTAAACAAATTCTTCTCAGAGAATACAAACTACAGAAAATTAGAAATACAGAGGAAAAGATCTTCAGTGTCACTACCCAAACAGCACTATGCGTACTGTATCCATTAAATGAAATATTAAGTATAAAGCTTTAACACTGTGCCAGAAACCTGGTAAGTGCTCAATAGTAACTATTCACACTACTGTTTTCAGATTTGTTCTATGCATAATATATATATATACATATGTATTATATATATTTAAATATTTGTACTCTAAAATCTTGCATAGACTGTCTTTAGATTAGATAGGAACTTCCTTTTCTAATGATCTACTCTGATGACAAAAGCCACTCTGTTCCATTTCAATAACTACTGTATGGAATTTCTTGGAGATTCTTAAACATGTTATCTTCCAGATTAAGAATCATTTAGTCCAGACTAAGCGCCTGTTCAGGCAAGCTTAAGGACCGGGTTCAATCCCAGGCACCACATGCCGCCCTAGCTGAGCCCCTGGTGCACTGAACAAGCCACCAAGACCAGATGTGGTGGTGTATGCTTGGAATCCCCGCACTGGGAGGCTGAGAACAGGAGGATCACTATGAGTACAAGCTGCGTAATGAGACCTCGTACCAATTAAAAAAAAAAAAAAAAGAATCATTTAGTCAAATCCTGTTCCTCCTTGCCAATGAAAAGCAAAATCAAATTTGGGGATTTCTGCTTGTGTTCGGTTCATGCAACTGTTAGAAAAATACAAAACTGGCAACCATTTACACATGCTGAACATATATAACAACCTATTATAAAATGTACGGTATTTTCTCCAACAAAGCACTAACTTTTGCCTTTAAAGAATATTTAAAGAATGTGAGCAATATTCTCAAGTGTACAGAAAAGAGAACTATTACAACTAAAGAAAACAAGAGAAGAGGCCACCAAAAGAGGTACTTCAGCAACATCTGGGAGGATGAGAGCAAGCGCCAGGCCGCCCGCCACTACTCCTCCCCATGTCTCACAAGTTTGGGCCAGACTGAGGCTTCTGGAGCAAGGCAGCAGGAGGTGCCCAACTGGAGGGAGGCTGCGTCGCAGGAGCTGCGCTCACCAGCGCCCAGAGCACAGCGGCCAAGCTCATCGCTGAGCTTTGCAGGCGCTGCCACCAGCCTGCCACATGAAGGAGTCTCCTCTGAAGAAGCCAGCCAGTCCAAATCAAAAGATTTACGAAGACATACCTAGGGGTACCTCCCCCAGATGAGCCTCAGGTGGTATTTCTGTTGGTAACATTCTGCTATTTGAATATTTCTGAAACATTTCTAGTTCTTGATGTTTTGGCAATTTTTCTGACATAAGGATGATGACTTTTAAAACCAATAATCAAATTTAAGATACATATTGTTTTAATATTTCAAAGTAAGAATTACCTCTGCTTAAAAATCTTCCCAAATACTTAAAATATCCTTCAAAAAACAGTAACTATGGGCTATGTATAATTTAATTATAAATATATACACTAAATGCCTACACACAAGGAAAAACAACTAAGAAAATATAACATTAAATAATGGTTGTATTTGGAAAAAGATGTTGTAATAATTATGCATTTTCTTTAAGTGAGTATGTCCCAATTTTTTATAAAGTATAAAGAATGGCTGTTCCCAACCCATACTTTTAATTCGTTAACAATACATACCTATTAAGGCTGTGGTAAACCGATTCATGGAAAGAGGCTCCAAATACATTGGTCCTTCATAGGCAGACTCCAGTTCACTCCTAACGTAGTCTCTAAAGAAGAAAAATGCTAAGAATGTATTGGATAGAAAAAAGCAGCAGTTCAACCACATCACTCTCATAAAACATGTTAGTAGCTTTTCTTTCTACAGCTAAGGAAACATTTATGAAGAACTATATAAATACGGCCTTCATCTCTGTCTTCCATATACTGGAAACACACATAATTCATTGAAACTGAATATTGCAACACAATGAAGGCTGCCTCAGCTCCACTTTGTGAGATTTTCATTCTTTCCATGTTCTTATTATTTTACACTTAGAAAAAAAGCTAGTTAAGACCTCATTTCTCAAACCTATGAATTACCTGAAAATATACATTAAACTTTTCTCTCCTTTAGCTTGCCTAAATATGTATCATCCCCAAAGTTCTTTCTTAGTTATATTTTACTAGATACAGACAAAACTAAAATCTAATGAGAAAGCCGGTCCATAACATAATAATCCTTAAATGTTATTGCTTTCAAATCTACAGGTAATCTATAATGAGCATTACAATATTCAAATAGCTTAAGTATTTATTTTCAAATACATATTAAGTACACAAAGTATTTCTTTTTAAGGAATACCTTAAAAAGTGAATAATGAAAAATAGAAACTTTTAAGTAGTAAGTGCCTTTTATATTGAGAAAATATACACAGGAGTCACACAAAGAAATTTTTATTATAAGTAAGTGATATTACTGGAAGATACTTGCTTTAAAGATCTGTTTGAAATTCGTGTTTTAAAAAATCCTCTTCAAATTGAATGCTTTATTCATTGCATTTTAAAATCATTATGTTTCAAGTATTTCTGAACTAACTCAAATTGTGTATTTACTTTTTCTATGAAATTATTTCCTGTTAGGCAATCAAGTTGAATTCCTTCAGCAAAGCATAGCAAACAAAGAATGACCCTTACATAATCAAGCAGCAAAGTACTGCCAAGAATTCTAATTTTAAAACTAAAGTTATTTTTTTAAAGAACAGGAACACTGTAGGGATGACCAACTAAGCTCTACAGGGAATCCAGCAATTCTCATCTATCACTTTCTAATGATTGCTTTTAACATGTTTCCATAATCTCTAATACAACAAAAGCCAGATTCTCAGGAATGTCTATCAGCCAGGGGCAAGTGTACCCCAAAGGGACCTTTTGCAATGTCTAGTAACATTTCTGGTTGCCAGACTGAGGGAAGGGTGCTACCAGTACCCAGTAGGATGTTATTATATGTTCTACAATACCTGGGATAATTCCCCAAAGAGTTATCTGGTCTACAATGTCAATCATATTGTGGGTGAGTAACCTGGTTTTAATGTAAGGAAACACAAATGATGTATTTGCAAACAGCACATAAATTGTGATTGTTATAGGTAACCACCAAAGTAATTATATTTTATAGTTCTAAAACAATACTAATAAAATTATGAAGTTTAAAGTATTTATGTAAACACTAATACTTACAAAGTCTTTGACATGCTATTAAAGTAATAAATACATATTTAAAAGAGACAAAACTGACCCAATACTACCTAAGCCTCTAAACACCTCAATTCTTTGTGGACCTGGAATACACTTCGCAGATGAGGTGCAGCAGAAACAAGGACCAAGCAAAACCTACAATTTAGCAGAGCCAAGGCTCCCAGGGGTTAGGGTCGGGGGAATAGAAGTAACAGCTTAAAATTGGGCTTTATTGGGGGGTAATTAAAATGTTTTGGAATTAGATAAAGGCAAAGTATTAATGAAAGTTTTATATGCTAGTAGTACTACATGCTACTTTCAACTAGTTAATTTTACATTATGTGAATTTCACCACAATTAGAAAGGTATGGGCCAGCAGGATAGCTCAGCAGACTACAGCACCTGCTTTGGCAAGCGCAGGGACCAAGGTTTGATTCCCCATCCAGCAAGCCACATAGATCCCACCCCTGGGGCACACTGAGCAAGAGACGGAGTTAGGGCGTGGTGGGGCAGTAATCCGCCAGTAATCCCAGTGCGGAGGAAGCTGAAAACAGGAAGATCACTATGAGTCCGAGCTGCGTAGTAAGACCCTGTACCAAATATATAAATTTTAAAAAATAAATAAAATAATATTCTAGGAATGCATGCTAAACTGCAGAGAGGTAAAATTATGATGAATGGTATTAGGATTTCTATGTCTAATGCATGTGCAACTTCAGGGCATTTCACTGAGCAATGAAAACTTATGGCGATTTAAACCCTCCCAACAGACAGGGTTACTCATATAATGAAAGAAAGGAAAGAAAAGGGAGGGAGGGAGGGAGGGAGGAAGGAAGGAAGGAAGGAAAAAAGTTTGGGGACATAAGAAAAGTGTAAGGTAATGAAAAAAGCCTCAATTAGAAACTTTCTTGCTATAAAGAGGCGTATAAGTTATAAAAATAAAAAACTAAAGAGCTCACTATTTCAACTAACTGATGAAAGACTTTTATGACATAATTTTTAAGCAACCTGACTGGGCAAGCTAGGAACAATCTGTATATGCTCGCCATTTAAGCTCTAAAAAGATGTTAATTCGAAAGAAATCTAATCTTTCACACAAAACAAAGTAGGGTTTGCTCCAAGTTGTCTTTCACAATATGAGCAAAGAAAAAGTACCACTCTGTATAAGAGAACCCAGAAACTAACACGTTCAAACACTTGTGTTTAAGTACATACACACCTACTACTGTACCCTCCACACCATCCTAGCAATTAATTACTCATCTAGTCAAGGTTCACTTAAACTATTTGGCATCTCCTTCCAGTTTCTTTCTGGTCTCTAGACATTTAATACTTGGATTTGACCATGTTCAAAGGAAGAAAACATGAAAACACAGATTAGTTTCACTACTGTCAATATTTAAAACTCAGTATACAATTGATAAAATTAAGGCTGGGCACGGTGAAGCATGCTTACTAATCCCAGAACTCTGGAAGCTGAGGCAGAAGAACTGCTGTTTGAGGCTAGATTGGGCTACAAAGTGACTTTGAGGCCAGCCTTCACTACATACTGAGATCTTGTCTCAAAAAAAAAAAAAAACCCCAAAACAACAACAATCGTTTTTTTTGTAGCAATAGTTCTCAACTAAAGATAATTTTTTTCTGCAAGACACAATATGTGACAATATCAAGGAACATTTTTCAATTGTCACAAGTGCTAGAACTATTGTCATATAGTGGTTAAAGACCCAGGGTGGCCTTCACAACAAAGAAAAGCAAGTCCAAAATCCTTACAGGTTGGAAACAAATTCCTTTGAATTATACAAGTTTTCATTAAACGTTGGTCCATTTTATTCCTACCAAAATAAAAAGACTAGCTATTAATAAAATTCAGATTGGCTAAATAAAGCTTTTATTTTAAAAGGACAGTTGGTTTTGAAACTACCTTAGGAAATCTGAACCAATAAACATGTGTCATGTTAAAAATATTTATTAAAAATGACATGTCATGAATAACTCAAGGGTAGCATTCATGAGAAAGTATCATACAGTGTAAATTATACTGAGGAAGAACACTAAAATATGCCAGATCCTGAAATCCATTCATTTAATACCAAAACAAACTCCCAACTTTCAAACAAGTAACTTAATGAGATAAAATATTACTGAAAAGTAAAACACTCATTAATTTTCCTTCCATTGATGACACTGCATCTCTAAGAGAAGTAAACTAATAAGAAAACCCTGGATTCAAGATAGCATCTTGATTATCCACAGCCATTTATCCACTTCAGTTTTTTCATTTGTAAATTCCAAAGTATTAAATTTCCAGAAGATGAAGGAGTGGTAAGCTGCAGAGAAAGATCTTCTCCAAGATCTGGTGTGCAGACCCTAGAATACAGCGAAGTGAGGAAGGAAGAGAAGGAGGAGGAAAGTGGCTCCAACCTGCTTCTTCCTGGTATACCAAGACTGGGACAGCCTAAGGGTCATGAACAATACTCAGGCCAGTGCCAAACAACTATAGGCTGGGCCAAGTAGGCAGCAACTTCTCATCTCCAATAAACAGAAGAGGTAGAATCATGCAGCAGACACAAAGCCCCAAAGCCAGCCACATCTGTAAGACCCCTCTGAAAAAGTCATTTCCTAACGACTCTAAATACTAACAACAACATGTAACTCAGTTGTGCTCCAAATTTTCTGATCAAGAAGATTATGGAGCCACAGAGGAATGTGACCGATGATGTATAGTGTGCCTAGGGAGAGTCACACGGAGAGAAAAAACATTCTCCCAGGCTCTCACAGAGAGCAAATTGGTCAAGCAATGTCCGAGACTCATCCTCATGGCTGACACTGACAAAGGATCTACAAAGTGCGGTACAGGGCACAGGATAAATCCTCAGAGTACTTGGCTGACCTTATCAGATACAAAAGTTACATTTCTTGGTATATAGGTCTTGCTTTATGTTGGTCTTAACCATCCAGTAGAAAAGTATAAAAACGAGGTATATAAAGTAAAGCCATA